TTTTTTTAATATTATTTTTGTTAGATTTATTACATTGCTATATGGAGTAGAAACAACAGCAACAGCAGCAGCAACAACAACAATAATAGTAACATCTACAAGGTGCTCTTGCTTTCACTGGGTGTCGACGTCGACTTCCCATCATCCGTCAGGTTGATGACGGCGTTGGTGAAGACTGTGACGTCCGCTCGTCTCCCCTTTCGTGACGGGGCGAACCCTCCGGCGTATCCGGGAAGGACGCCGTGGGCGGTCGCTGTGGGGAGCCGACGCTCCCGTGTTCACCGTCGTCCTCTGCGTTTGGCGGCGGCCAGTGCGACACTACCATGGACGACCGGCGATGGTGACCCAGCTTAGAGGCAACCGGGCGGCCCACGGGCACGGGCCGCGAGTAAGGCGTCGGCGGTCGGCGAGCAATGTCCTCCGAGGACGAGTGCAGCAGGACGTACGTGCAAGTGTCGTCCTCAACGACGGCTTCGTCATCGTCATCCATCGGGTGGATAGGGCTGCCGAACAGCGAGCTGCGGCCGGAGCGCGTCGGCTGGCACTCGTCGACCTGCTCCGGGTCCGGGATGGCCGTGGCCTGCTCGTCGTCCGGGTCCTGCTCGGCTGTCGTCGGCAGCGTGGGGTACAGGGAGCCGCGCGAGCTGCGAGACCCGCGGCGGCTGCCACCCTCGGCGAGGACCCGGAGGTGCGCGTCGTCCGAGGCTGCCGAGGCCAGGCTGCGGTCGCTCCAAGCTGTGAACGAGTATCGTTAACGTTCAGCTGTTCAGCGGTTCATCACTTCACCACGTGGCGCGAGCCAGGCCTCACCATTGCTGAGGTGCAAGACGTGGTCCTCCAGAACGCGGAGGTGCTGGTGCTGTTCGCCTTCGCCATCGTCCAGGTGACCACGGTCCGTCCAGGCCTCCCGCAGCCTGTCGACGGACCCTCTGCGAAAGGCGGCGGCCGCGGACACCGCCGACACCACCTTGGAAAACACGACTTGCGCAAGACCTCGGCGGATCTCGTCAGTTGCGTGTACGTCCTACAACAAAAGAGACGGGACAATTTCTGATTGTTGAAATTAAAAATTGAAGTCGGTGTGGCGAAAAGGCCGGTACCCACCACCTCCGCCACTCCCTCGGTCCAGCAGGCCTGGTCCAGAGAGATGGCCGAGGCCGACTGGGCAGCCGTGCTGGGTCGCCTCTTACGAACGCCCTCGTGGTCGGCCCCTGGGTCGTTATCGTGATGGGTCCCGTGCCTCGTTGAGCTGGTGCCGGCCCTGCTGGGCTCCACACTGCCTCCTGGCAGGTAGTGCTCTAGCAGCTCGGGGGGAATGCTGCCAACGCTGGACCTGCGGCAACAACGGAACTTTCATCTGCGGCCTTCAGCTGCTTCTCGGTGTTTCCCCAGTGCTGATGTGAACTTCCGAACGTCCTAACCCTTTCTTGAACTTGAACTTGTACGCACCTCCTCCTCGGCCCGGGCTGGCAGTACTTCCTGCAACAGGCGACGCGCCCCGTCATGTTCTCCACGAACAGGGCCAGGGCGGCGAAGGCGAAGCCGGCGCCCAGCAGCAGGAACATGCCCTGCGTGTCGTCCAGGGTGAGCATGCGCTCGTCCGAGGACTTGAGCTTGAGCGCCGAGCCCCTGCTCGCCTGCGGCAGAGACGGGTGAGGTGAGCGAGAGCCTGCTGCGACAGCGTGCCCGCGCGGGCTACAACGACCAAGGGGAGATAGGCTTGAACTTCGGTGTACGTTTTCTTGAACTTCGGTGAACTTCGGTGAACTTTTACGATTTATTTTGAACTTCGGGGAACTTCGACATTTATTTTGAACTTCGGGGAACTTTGGCATTTTATTTGACGTTTGATTTTGTACTTCGGTTAATTTCAGTGGACTTCGATCGAATTTTACAAAGCGAACTTCAGTGATAACTTCGGCTGAACTCCGGCCGAAGTTCATGAACTTCGACTTCGGGTGTACGATTTTTTGGAGCCTATTTCGCCTTGACAACGACTCCTCGGACCCACACCTGCAGCAGCGTGCGCCCGTTCTTGGCCTGCAAGCGCATCACGTCCCAGGCTACGTCGCGCCGCAGCTTCTCCGTGATGCCGGCCTGCATGGCGCGCATGAGCACCTGGCTGAAGCGCTCCGAGTACGTGGCCGCCTTGGGGAAGATGAGCGCCACCCAGAAGGGCGCCACGCACTCGCTGCTGATGTGCATCAGCGAGCGCTTGTTCTCGGCCGTGTAGTTGGTGCGGACCACGTGCTCCAGGTAGAGGCGCGAGCCCAGGAAGGCGTACGGCTTCCAGAAGTAGGCGCGCGTGATGTTGACGATGCCCGCCCACACGTCGGGCACCGTGTCCATGTCCTCCAGCAGCCGGTCAACCATCGGGTCGGACGAGTTGCGGAACCACGTGAGCCAGCCGTCCGTGCCTGGCGGGGGGCAGAAAGGCAACAGCAGCAGGATCAGTCGCACCCCTAGCTGATCGGGCATCGGGCCCATGGGCCCTAACGGCCAGTGTTTCGCTTACGCAGAGTGCCGATCTGGTAGTTTCCCTCCCACAGCTGCCAGATGTAGTCGACGACGGTGGGGAAGGCTGGGAAGGCGATGAAGGAGATGATGCAACCCGTGTAGCAGGCAGTCACGATGATAGAGAAAACCCAGTACCAACCTTGGATCAGAGTTACAATTTTTATCATCGTTTAAGTAAAGTTTAAAACAAACGTGGGGGAAATATTGACAGATTTTACCGATTATCATGCGGGTAGAGGTTCGCGACGACCGGGTCCAGGAGTCGCGCCCCTTGAAGGAGAAGGCGTTGGTGAAGGTGCCGAACACGTACCAGAACATGTTCTCGATCTGGCCGGGGCTCCTGATGAGAACGCGGAGCGTGAACGAGTGCGAGTAGACGAGCGGCAGGATGGCGAACATGTAGGTGAGGGTGAGCGCGATCCAGACGCTCAGCTGGAAGGGGCCCATGATGGCGCGGTAGCGGGGCAGCGCGACGGAGGCGAGCGCCATGAACGCCGCGCAGTCCTGCGTGTGGTAGAAGCCGAAGTCGGTCTTCTGGCTGCGCGCGTGGGTGACGTAGATGCCGCCCGCGCCCAGCTCCGAGGTCCCGAGCACCACGTTGTTGACCACGCTGACCGCCGCGCCTCTCCTGGAACACACGCGCCCGGCCCCCAACAACAGCAGTCAGTGCAGCAGCCTTCCGGCAGCCGGCCACAGGGAAGAATACCACCAGAAGCGCTGGTTCTTCCAGGTCCAGCGCCCAAAGGCAATCAGGCAACCCACACTTGCTTTTATGTATGCAGTGTAAGGCATTGTCCAGAAAAGCTGGTCCCACAATAGCTCCCGTCAGCTCCGGTCAGTTCACTTCAGTTCAGTACACGTCACTTCTGCCGCGGTATTTACGCAGGGGGATGGGTAGAGTTAATACTTTTTCAGTCGTCTGAACTGGCGCGTCGTAGCGCGGCGCGGAGAAAGGCGCAGCGGCGTAGCCAGCCAACATTGCTGTCGTTACTGAAAATGTCCAACGCCAATTTTCTTCAAAAAT